TTATGATTTTATTTCTTTTGAGGTAAAATTTACATAGATCTTAATTGTGCATGTATTGGCTAGTGAGTTATGATAAATGCATAATTTGTACAATTTAAACTTTTGCCAAGATACAAAACCTTACCATCATTGTAGAAAGTTCCCTCATGCTCCTTTCCAGTAAATCTCTGTCCATACCATCTCCCAGAACAGCTACTGTTTAAAAATTTTTAGTTATAGATTTGTTTTGCTTGTTCTTATAATTCACATTATTGGAATCACTTATAATTGGCTTTCCATAGCTGTGGATTTTGCATCTGCACATTCAATCAACTGCATGTTGAAAATATTTGGAAAACAATCCTATCTGTACTGAACACATGCAGACTTTTTTCCTTGCCATTATTCCCTGAACAATACAGTATAACAGTTATTTACATAGCATTTACATTGTATTAGGCAGTATAAGTAATCTAGAGGTGACTTAAAGTGTGTAGATTATATGGAAACACTACACCACTTTTATATCAGAGATTTGAACATCCTTGGATTTCGATATACTTGAACCAACTCTCCACAGATACCTAGGGACAACTTTAGTATGTACTTTTTTGCCTAAGTCTTCATTCAGCATAATATTTTGAGATTCATCCATATTTTCACATAGATCAATAGTTTATTCCTTTGTATTGCTAATCAGTATTCATTGTATGCATTTCTTTTGTTTTTTTTTATCCATTATTCTATTGATGGACCCCTAAGTTTCCAGTTAAGTGCTATTGTAAATAAAGCTGTTATGATCTTTTTTGTGCAAGTCTTTGTAGATAAATATTTTCATTTCTCTTGGGTATCTTCAAGTTGGATTGCTGAGTCATAGGGTAGATGTAGTTTATTTTTATAAAAACTGCCAGTAGTTAGATCAATTACCTTCCCCACTATAATGTAGCAGAGTTCAGAAGTTTTTCATCCTTAGCCATTTTTGGTGTTTGTCTTTTTAATTTAATTGTGTATTTAGTGACATCCATTGTGGTTTAATGGTATTTGTTTCTTATTTACCTTCCTAAATTTAGTGTTGGAACAAACCAGAGCTACCAAGAGAGTCACTGTTTCAGCTTCAGTAGTCATTATCCTCGTGGAATCAACACAGCCATTTACCATCCTGGTCACAGGTGAGCAGCCATTGTTCTCTTATTTAGTGGAATATTAAGTAGATAGAGAAATCTTGGCACAGATTTAGGGAAAAGAAACTGTCCATTTTGATTCTTATTTTGGCTTCTTCTTTTCCTTCTTTATGCATAGTTACCCTTAATATCTGTAATATTGTTGTCATCTTCCTATTATTATTCATGCTTATCCATCTGACCAGAGCTGCTCTGAGCCAGATGGGGGCACTGGGGATATGGATTGAGGAATCTCTTCTTTTCTTTTAACCTTCTGGACCTTATTTTTCTCATCTATAAATTACTCAAGTACCTATCTCAGCATTATTGAGAGAACTACTGAAGTACCATGTCCAAAGTGCCCTCACACAGAGGACCTCTTTAGACATTGCTTCCCTTCTTTCTTTCCATGGAAGTTAGGGTTGCATTGGTTTTCCATGGTCCCTCCAACAGTTTTATCCCATCCTTCTTAAATGTCACTGCTGCATGTATTTGGCATTTACATGGAGGGTTACTGGAAACCTTATGACATTTTCTACTTCCATTTATTTCTTTCTTTTAATTTTGTTATGTGAGAATGAGATTTACACATATCTTTTAAGTTAGCTAAGCTAACTGTTTGGTTCTCTAGATGGAAACTATGCCAAATTTGAGTAAGACAAACTTGAGTTTTTAATTTTGGGACACTCTCTGTCTATTGGCACATCCTTATACTCTGTGGCTCTCAGTATGCTTAAGACTTTTTGAATGAAAATGTATGCAAGTTTCATATTCTGTTCAGTCATATACCTGTGTGGTGCTATTGTGGTATTTTTATATTTTAGAAGAACACACCCACACGGAAGTCCCCTTTGTGCTCCCCCCTCATCCTATCCTCTCTGTCTCTTGAATTTTGTGTACCTCATTCCCTTGCTTGCTTTATGGTTTTCCACTTACTTACACCTAGTTTTGCTGTTTTGACTTGATATGAATGGAATCACACAGGAGACTTATAAGTCTTGCTTTATGATTTGCTTTTTGATTTCCTGTTGTTTTAGTTCATTCATTTTTAACTACTACTAGAACTTTTCATGAGTAGTTTGCAACATATTTGTCTATTCTCCCATAGATGAAAATTGCTTTGTTTTCTTTTTTTTCAGTTTTTTGTTTTAAAAGTAGTACTGTGGTAAAACTTATTGTTTATTTCCTTGACATATGTCTAAGAGTTTCTGCAGGATATATAATTGGGAGTGGAATTGCTGAATTGTCATATAAGTACATCTTCAACTTTATTAAATGAGGTCATATGTTTTCCAGAGTGGTTGTACCAAGTACCAATTTACAACCCTATCAGAAATAGTTGAAAGTTTCTATTGATTCACATTCTCAGTACTCTTGATTATATCAGACTTTCAAATTTGTGCTGCTTTGGCAGGAGTAAAAAAAGTATGTCAAGATACTTGGTTTTAATTTGCATTTCTCTCGATACTGATGAAGTTGAGCAGATTTTTATTTGTTAATGGCCATTCATGTTTTCTCATCTTTGAAATGATTTTTTATATCTTCTTGTGATGGGTTTTAACATTTTTATATAATTTGCATATTAGTTCTGGATCTATGATAATGCATGAGGAATATCTTGTTCTGAGAATGTGACTTGTCTTGTAAAAGTTTTTTCATATATTTACTTTCTAAATTTAAAAAATTTAGGCCAGGTGCAGTGGCTCATGCCTAAATTCTTAGTAGTCTAGGAGGCTGAGGAGGGAGGACTCCTTGAGTTTAGGAGTTGGAGACCAGCGTTGTCTCATGCCTAAAATCCTAGCACTCTGGGAGGCTGAGGAGGGAGGACTACTGCTTGATTTTTAGGAGTTGGAGACCAGCCTGAACAAGAGCAAGACCCCATCTTTACTAAAGAAAAATAGATGGGCTTTGTGGCAGGTGCCTATAGTGCCTGAGCCAGGGAAGCTGAGGGAAAAGGATTGCTTGAGCCCGGGAATTTGAGGTTGCTGTGAGCTGTGATGCCCCAGCACTCTACCCAGGGCAGCAAAGTGAGTCTATGCCTCAAAAAAAAAGAAAAAAATTAAAAGTGTTTTTTGTAGAGATGACATCTTGCTGTTATTGTCCTCATACTCCTGGCTTCATGTGATTTGCTTACCTTGCTTCCCAAAGTGGTGGAATTATGAGCATGAACCACTGTGCCCACCCATATTTAATTTTTATTGAATAAAAATTGCACATACTATCAAGTATTTAAATAGTTTAAAAAAACTGACTCACTTGATATCTTACTTTCCAAAGGTTACCACTTTTGGGTATTTTACTTGATTGCTTTAGTTGTTTTCATACATCTAAATGGAAAGCTTACATTATACTTCTTGATTCTAAATGTACACATTATGTAATTGGCTTCCCTTTATGGAAGATGTGTATTTAGTTTTCTTACTTATTCCACCACATATCCGCTCACTGAACCTTTGCTTGTTCTCTTATTATATTTATATTTATATCATCATTTTTTAATTATGGTTATTATTATGGTTATGTAGATACGATTCAAAGGTGAGACAAGCTTTTACAGTATTTCATGATTGCTTTTCCATTTTTACTTATTTATTCATTAATTCATTCAATAACCATTTATTGACTTCCTACTTGGTGGGATATACTGTTGTAGGTGCTTGGGATATGTCTTCCTCATGGAACATGCAACAAACAATAAGCATAAAGTATGTGAGGAGCTAATTATTATGGGAAAAAGGATCAGAGAGTAGAGGGGTGGGAGAGTAGAGTTCAGGTTACAATTTTATTCATTTATTTGTTTATTTAGATAGTATCTTACTCTGTTGCACTGGGTAGAGTGCCATGGCATCAGCTTAGTTCACAGCAACCTCAAATTGCTGAGTTCAAGTGATCCTGTTGCCTCAGTAGCTGGGACTACAGGCACCCACCATGACACCCAGCAAGTTTTTCACCTTCTCAGCCTTCCAGCATGCTAGGAGTACAGGCTGAGTCACTGTGCCCTGCCCAGGTTACAGTTTTAAATAGAGTATCTGGTTACCTTCATTGAGAAAGTTACATTTGCACAAACACCTGTAAAAGATGAGAATGTTAGTTATTTATGTATCTAGGATAAGAATGTTCTACTCAGAGGGAATATCCAGAGCAAAGCCATGAGTTGGGAGTGTGCTTGGCATGTTCTAGGAACAGCAAGCAAGCCAGTTAGGCCAACGCAGATTGAGAAGGAGAGTAACAAGTCTAAGTCAAGAGAGAATGGTGAATGCTGAATCATGCATGGCATTGTAGGTTATGATGACTTAGCTGGTAACTTCTTACTTGTATGTATTTACTTTCCTGTAGTTAATGATTTTTTTTTAATTTTCCAAGTTTTTAAATGCACTTACCACACATTTCCCCCCAAACTCACCCAATTGTGTAAATCGCCATTCATCAGATCACATGTCAGGCATTTTGTGAATTTCATCCTTTTGAGGAAGCTTCCAAACTTTCTGATCTTGTCCAGTTTAGATTTATACCTGCCATATCTGCTGTCTTGGAGTTTCACTTCCCTATCATCTTGAGGATTCCTTTCATATTTTTCTTTGTTGCATGACGCACTTTATGGATTTCTTGCTTTTTCTCTTTTGGATAATTTAAGTGTTTTGGTGGGTCACAACTTCCTTTTACTTCCTTAGAAAGGGTTTGTAGGAAGTATAATTTTAGAAGCCTTGCATGTCTGAAAAATGGCTGTATTCTATTTTCATGATTAATTAATGTTTAGCTGCATAGAAATGTAGGAAGGACATACCGTATTTTGCTGTGTGTAATGCTCTCGCTTGTATAATGTGACCCATGTTTTTGGCTCAAAGTTTCAGGGAAAAAATCTTTTTTTTTTTAAAATTCAAACTTACAGCTTAAAGATTTTAGTATGTAAAAACTATCTTGACATTTTCCAAGGGATTTTTCAATAATTTTTGTTAACATATTGACTAGATTGCTAGCTCTCACCTAATGTGTACACAGAGAAATATGTTGTTCTTCATTGGCTGAACATGTTTTCGTTGCAAGTTCATCATAAGTTCAATAACTGATTTCTGTGTTCCAGTGATTATTTTACATATGGATATTGTTATTGCTTTCTAGAGTTACACTTTTAACTCGTATTCGTAAATGAAAGAATTAAAAACATTTATATAGATACAGAATTAAGTCTACACATGTGTAATGTACATCTTTATTTTTCCTTCAAAAATTTCAGCAGAATGTCTACATTATACATGGCAAACTATGATAACATGCCCATAGAATTTAGATGATACTGCTCTGTTTTATTCTACCTTTTAGTGTTACTCTCGAGAATTCTGTCATTTTAGTATAAAAACTATGTTTCTTTCTCTGCTTGTTGTTCCCGGTTCTTTGGTATCTAAGATTTTCTTCCCCTCACTGTTCTGAAATTTGAGCATATTATAACTTAGATTTATTAATATCCATAATGCTCGCCCTTTACTTTGGGTACTCATAACTCTTATTTTTGAGAAAATTCTTAGAATTCTTTCTTGGGTTGTTTTTGCTCCACTGTTTTTTCTGTCCTCTCTGGGATTCTGTTATCTAAATGTAGAGTCTCCTAGAACCATCTTTAATATTCTCTTTCTCTCCTATTTCCCCCTTTGTTTTTTGTTGAAAAAAGGAAGTAAAAAGATTGTTTTAATTTTTTCTGTATAAATACATGGACTTAATGAAGAAAGTTTGAAATACTTTTTGAGATCTTTTATAAATATAATGAACTACTGAAGCATGATCCTAATTTTGAAAAATCTGTATTCTAGTTAATTTTTGCTGATATAGTTTGTGTTTTACTAATTCTTCTGGACCTCATCTCATTTTTTTTTTTTTTTTGAGACAAGAGTCTCACTTGGTAATCCTTGGTAGAGTGCTGTGGTGTCATAGCTCACGGCAACCTCAAACTCTTGGGCTCTAGCAGTTCTCTTGCCTCAGCCTCTCAAGTAGCTGGGACTACAGTTGCCTGCCACAAT